TAAAAAGAATGATTGCTCATTCTTCTTTATCAGAGTCACTCTGGGGAGAAACACTAAAGACAACAGCTTATATTTTAAACAGGGTACTAAGTAAAACAGTTGCTAAAACACTTTATGAGCTTAGGATTGGTCGAAAACCCAGTTTAAAGTACTTACATATTTGGGGATGTCCAGCTGAGGCAAGGCCTTATAGGCTAAATAAAAAGAAATTTGACTCTAAAATAGTTAGCAGCTACTTTATTGGGTATTCTGAATGTTCTAGGGGCTATAAGTTCTATGATCCCACACTTAGGAATATTTTTAAGACGGGAACAATAATATTCTTTGAGGATGTTGAGTTTGAGGGAGAAATAAGGTTAGAAATATTACTTTTGAGGAGGAATTGGTTTCAAACCCAATCCACACGGTCACTTTTAACGATATCCAGGTTCCTATACCTGTTATTGATCAAGAAGTGAATCTGAAACCTCAAGAAGATAATATTGAACAACTTCCTGTTCCAAAAGAACAAACTCAATAACCTCAAGAACCAGTGCCATAAGGAGATCCACGAGAGAAAGGAGAAATGCTATTCCGGATGATTATATTGTATTTCTCCAAGAACATGAGGAAAATAATAGAATATTAAAAATGATCCAATCAACTTCCTTCAAGCCATGAAAAGTTCTAACTCTCAAAAGTGGATTAATACCGTGAATGAAGAATACAAGTCTATGCAAGATAATAAGGTTTGGGAACTTGTCCCATTGCTAGAAGGTGCAAAACCAATTAGTTATAAATAGATATTTAAAACCAAGCGGGATGCAAATGGTAATGTGGAGAGGTATAAGGCACGTCTTATAGCTAAAGGCTATACTCAAAAGGAAGGTATTGATTATACAAAGATTTTTTTCTTCAGTTTTATCGAAAGACTCTTTCAGAATAATAATGATGCTTGTTGCTCATCTTGATCTTGAGTTACATTAGATGGATGTTAAGACTGTATTTCTCAATGGAGACATTGATGAAATGATCTATATGGTGCAACCAGAAAACTTTGTGTTAGGTGATCCGAAAAATATGGTTTGTAAATTAAGAAAATCTATCCATGGACTCAAGCAAGCTCTTCGTCAATGGTATTATAAGTTTCAACAAATAATTATCTCGTTTGGTTTTGAGATGATTGTTGTTGATGACCATGTATATCACAAGTTTAGTGGGAGTAAGTATATTTTTTCTGGTTCTGTATGTCGATGACATATTGCTTGTCACTAATGATATAGGCATGTTGCACGAAACCAGGAGATTTCTATCAAAGAATTTTTGAAATGAAAGATCTTAGGGACGCCTCTTTTATATTAAGAATCCAGATATATCAAGATCGTTCTCGAGGTATCCTTGGATTATCACAAAAAAGTTATATCGATAAAGTATTCAAAAGGTTTGGCATGCAAGGTTGCAGACCAGGAGACACCCTTGTTGCTAAAGGAGACAAGTTTAGTCGCAATCAGTGCCCTAAAGGTAACCTTGAAATTCAGGAAATGCAAAAGATTCATTATGCTTTGGCTGTAGGAAGTCTAATGTATTCTCAGGTGTGTACGCGTCCGGATATTACGTATATTGTTAAGATGTTAGGCAGATATTTAAGCAACCCTGGTATGGATCACTGGATAGCAGTCAAAAGGATTATGATGTATCTTAAAAAAACAAAAGATTATATGCTCACATACAGAAAATCAGATCAGCTGGAGGTCATTGGGTACTCTGATTCTGATTTTGCTGGATGCCAAGATAGCAAAAAGTCTACATCATGTTACATTTATATGTTAGTAGGAGGAGCTATATCATGAAAAAGTATCAAACAGACACTTATATCTTCATCCACTATAGCAGCAAAGTTTGTAGCTTGTTATGAGCATACAATCATGAAATATGGTTATAAAATTTTATCACTGGACTGCGTATTCTGGATAATGTTGAAAGACCACTTAAGTTATTTTGTGATAATAAATCAGCAGTGATGTATTCCAATAATAACAGGATCTCGACTAAGTCAAAACATATTGATATTAAGTTCCTGGTTGTAAAAGAAAGGGTACGGAGTGGACAGATATCCATAGAGCACATTGGGACAAACTCCATGATAGCTGATCCTCTTACTAAAAGATTGCCACCTAAGGTCTTTCATGAGCACACTGCTCATATGGATGTGGTATTATTCGAGGATATCATGATTTAGTCTGACGTTTGATTATATTATTTGATCAGAGTAAAGTATTCAGTTCATACACTCTGTTACATTATGTTGAGGTTGACATCACTAAAGTTTAAGGTAGGACCAGTTGAAAATAGACATGTACTGATCACATTACATGTAATTTTCATGCTACACATCCATGATTAATCTATGTCGTTTGATTGTATTGGTATATGTGACCATTGATGGGTTTAGTCACGATAAATGTGACGAAGACCGTTTTGATTCTATATTGATATTGTCAATGGACGAGATTGTTAGGAAATACCCTTATTTGTGATAGCAATTTATAAGCTCATAAGGTTGTACATATTTTTTATGAAACATATAGTGCCCAAGTGGGAGATTGTTGGATTAAATCTAATTATGGGCGTATATGTTACATTAGTGTATAATGCTATCCTTAAGGTTAACCATCATAAAGTGATCAATAAATTTGGGTTAATGTGTATTTAAATAAATCATGGGCTAAATGTGTGGATACCAGGTTGTAATTATAATTTGATGAGGGATTAAATTATAAAAGAACAATAACTATAAATAAGGGGTTATGGTCCCTAATCTAGGGGTTACATTCTCTAATTCTCTTCACCCCCATCTAGAGAGAAATTCGGCTAGAGAGACCCTCAAGATTAGAAGATCATCAAAAAAACCCTAATTCAAATCCGTACAATGGATTTAGGTATAGCTTCCGCGCTCATTGTTGTTTTAATCTCTTTGAATTAATCATGGTATTATGGGTTAGATCTCAGTTTTAGATCTAACACTCGGTCGCTCACGGATATTTGAATGGGGGCTGGGGGGTGGGGGTTGTTATTCCACAATTTTATCTTCTCGAGAGGTGAATTCTGGAGTGTTACGTGTTAGCAAAATATTTGAGTGATAAAGTTCAACCAAAGACATAAATGGCTCTACTTTTTTACGCTACAATACCAATTATACTTTACTTATGTTTAAGATAATCAATATTATATTAAAGTTAGTCATCGTCATACTTTATGTGATTGCATTTATTTCAACTTTCACACCACTCAAAGATTATCATGATCCCTGATTAAGCATAAATGACGAATTGGATCGATGAGTGAATGAGATGGGCTTTGTTCTCTTTCCTTTTGATGATGAGGGGTTTCATCTCTGCAAGATAAGATAAGAAACAGGGCTTGTGAACGAACAAGAGCAAAGCCACTTGCCCAATAGAATCTCCTTAGGAGTGTTTGTCCACATGATTATGATTTTTTGGGATTAGCCTTGTATTTTAGCATAGGAGACGTCAGAAGAGTCTGAAGTGAAGCAGAAGAAGAAGCGGTGAAGGATTAAGCATTGCACCTACCGTTTTGGGTTGTTTTGTATTTTTGGAAACATGTTCGGGTTAGAAGTCCAATTTGATTTTTGTATTCTGGTTTAACCTTATAAATATATGTCTTCTCAATGAAGGGTTCGTATCTAAGCCAAAGAAAAGAGATGAGATAATTTGGGAGGATCTTTATGTGAGATTGGGAGATGGTTTCTCACGGGTTACTTGAGTAACACAAGAAAGAATAAATATATGTAATCTATAGGAACAAATAAGAGTTCCTTGAGTAACACAAAAAAGAATAAATATCTGTAATCTATAGGAATAAAGAAGACAGGGATCTCTCTCGTGATCTCTCTCGTGGATGTAGGTGATTACTAAATCACATAAATCTGTTGTCTTTATATATGACATGTTCTTGTGTTGTTTCTTTAGTTTCCTGTGTTTGGATATTTATCTTCTCGGAGTTATTTCCTATTGCTGAGGAAAATCGTTTTGCCCTATTAATTAAGAAGGAAGAGATGTAGTTGTGTAGATCGGGATTAGCTTTCGCAAAGCACGCTGGTCGTTTTCGACAATCTATTATTTTGCAAACTATTGCACTGAAATTATGAGGCCCCCGGGTCTAAAGTATTGGTTCTTTTTAATCAAATTATACGATGTTTGATTGGACAACCCCCCGCTCCCCTCAACATTGCAATTTCCCACTTAAAACAGGTAAATCTACCTATAAATTTAAATGGGCGATTGTACTATATATGTAAATTTGGTAAAACTGAAGAGGATCAACGCACGAGGAGAGAATGAGAATTAGTTTCTACTGATTCAAAGCTCTGATCCCTTGTACTACAGATCCACTGAACGCTTGCCCTGCTACTCAGCGTAACTCGAAGCGACAAACAGCAAATTATTTATTCAATACTACTATTAATCAATATTCCAATCAAATTTCAGCTCAGATGATCTCGATCTCTAGCTAGTAGTGCATGACGTAGCAATCGTACTGCACGCACGCATCGCCGGTCTTCATGT